TTGATAGGAATTCTCATTTCCTGGCTAGTTGTGTTGGTGTCTGTGTCATTTAATCTGACTGCGACACACTTAGCATATTGGTTGTAATGATTAGTGTTTCATGCTGAATGCGTCAAAACATCTCTACAATGAAGAAGATGGGGTAGTTGGGGGGTAATGTCATCTACACAAATAGTTTATTTCTTGTGGAAGCTGCAGCTTTCGACATAGTGTCATTCAATGAAGACTACGTCAAAATGTGGCTATTTTCGTGTGAAGAACAGTACTATTTTACAAAAGAATACTATCAGTACATGGGAATCACCTGTAAATGCCAACAGAACATAAAACCAATGTGTAAACGGACGGCTATGGAACTGCAATCCAACATAACCGACTAACATGGACGAAAATGACCTTTGAGCGTCTCACTCCAACAATGACCTTGAGCATGCGGGATAATTTCAGCCGCATGTAGTTGTATTTGGTAAAAAATTGGCCGATCGCCAGAGATCTTGCACATTCGTTTTTCACGTTTCGCGAACTCTACTATTATTACCTCTGTGAACTGGGGAGGTTCAACCCCTCAAATAACGTTGAAAGCAAAATATATAGCACGAGCATTTGTGTTAATCTTTGACACTACGGCAGTATGTAACTGCATATGAGTATATTTATTGTTGACAATCGCTTTAAACAAAAATCGGTGTTAGAAACATCATCCGGTAAATAATATTGTTTCTCTGTGATATATTTAGTAATAATGTGAGAGCAAATACAGTGATAGTCACAGTATGGGATCTGTGTGCACCTCTATTCGAATCATTATTATGATTCACAATGTCGTTTCGCATTTTTTGGGGGGGATGCATCCATCACTTTCAAATCACATGCAAACAGAAATTTTCTACACATATGCTATCGATATGGATGACACAGTTTAGGGATTCTATAACTGAAAACCAAACTTTCTGTTCCTTCTCCTAAGGATAGGTGAATCAGTGGCACTCATTTGAGTAATGCCACTTATCAAGATATATGGTGGTAGACCCCGGATCACTTTGCACGAGGTAGCTAATACAAGAACCTTAACACGAAAGATGGAGCGTTCGAATGGATAGATCAAAAGTTAAATTAGCAGGCACAAAGTGATGGAAACTTATATTTTGGAAGTGGTTCAGTATTTAGATTGCTCGCTGCGGCTAGCGGGTTGGCTAATTATTCGGTCTGAAGTGTGATTACCTCTGTGACAGTTTTTGAATTGATAATTCCAAATTTGTGAAAAAAGATCTATACGCACTGCCGTAGGGATGATCAATGATGAAAAAATGTAGAGGAAAAAGAGCGGTTACCGTGCTGCATTATGATAATGTATCCCTTTATACTCTTTAAGACATTTACGTCTAATGCTGTATTGTCAAATGCTAAGGTTGCGCTTTACATACTATTTTCTATTTTCAAGTAAACTGAATGATCGTATTGCTCATCTTTGACTGTTGTTTACTTTTGTGATCGAATGCACACTTTTATTCGCTGGGAGCAATCTTGTTCAACCATTGTACTGTTTGTATATGGACACCAGATAACCTCAAAACTAAGCTCTTATTAATTGACGTACTATGTTACATAGAACTTTTCCGTGCCTTCACCTTTTTTAGTTTTCAGTACAAATCCTTTTGGAACGGTTTGGTTTTGATTCGGAAGGATGCGATATCCTGACTCCATTGAAAGTTATCCGCTAGGAGGCTGCAACAAACAGTATGTGAAGTATTAAACTTTCACCTGTTACTTGACACCTCCTCCCGCTTCGACCGGTGGGCTAAACGTTTTTGTTATAATATCTTCGGATTCTCTGTGGACAAAGGTTGCCAAGTCTCTATTCAAGATACACATCTTAAATAGTCGTTATCTCAAAGACAATAAATCGTTTTCAATATAACCTATCGTTTCGGCGTTAAATATGTTATATGCTTATTTTGAATGTTGCCTGCAGTACATATCACTAAATTTCTTCTACACCGAAGTTGCTAAGTGCTGGTCACTTCTACACTCTTCCTCATACTTTTTCTCGTCTTTACACAACTATTCTCCTGGATCACAATACTAATGCAGTAAAATTATGTTTCACTCGACTATAGTATTAAAATTACACAAACTACACTACACCCTCAATCACTAAGGGGTTTTTGAACTTTATAAGGACTAGACGAACTTCATCACTAACTCGAAACCAGTTACGGACTGATGCTAACAAAGTACACCAGCCAGTGACTTTGTATTTGTTGAGTTTCTCAGGTGCCAGTCCAGCATCAAAGGCTTCATTTAGCACAAACAAGCATTGAATGTCATTTGCTGATACTTTGTTTCTTCTTAACGTCAGTCAGTTTATATGGCCAGTCACCAACTTATAATGCAAACTCTCCAGAGTGCGCACAAATCCACAAGTCGTCGACTATCTTAGGCATATTGTTTTGCAATGACCTAATAATTCATAGTTTACAGGTTGGTGAGACTATTTAATAATATTTTATCAAATGTGCACCTTTTCTTGGAATATTTTAGCCCTGCAGGCTACTAATAAATTATCTACCGATGTCCCCTTGTATTATGTTTTAATGTCACAGTTACTGGCAATTTCTGATATCGTATGCGTATAAGGGGGTAAATGTGACTCATTCTGATGATATTTCTCACAGTAATAATGCACTTGATGTATCAAGTTTAGACTTTGAAAACTTTTCTAACAGAAATTATTGTCATGATATCATATATAATCCCACCTGTAAAACCGCGTGTTAATCATGTTCATACTTAGTTTGTCTGAACATCCATTGTAATTGGCCCTTGACCAAACAAATCCTGTGGGTTTTGTAGGGCCTTTCCATAATCCGGCTCTGTC